TGGGAGGGGAAGGGGAAACTTGGGGGCAAAGAAAGGGAAAGGGGAACCAATGGAACAAGGACGCAGGGGTGTTGGGGGAAACCAGAGGGGTGGGGGTGCCAGGGAAGGGCCTTAGGGGGACAAAGTGTGTGTGTGTGGAACACAAGAAACCTCACGGAGGGAGAGAAAGGGATAGTGGGTGTGAGATGGATGGAAAGGCAGGAAAGAGGAAGGAAATGTGAAGGGGAAATGAAGGGTTGGGGGAACGGGAGGGACGCGAAGTAGAGGAACAGGAGACACCGGGGCGCGAATGGGGCGAGTCCAGCAGCGGGAGGGGGTTGGGGGGGTGAGTGGTCGGAGGCGAGGGACCGGGCACCGGGGTCTGGGGAGGTGTCCTGGCGGGGGCAGAAGGAAGCTGCAGGTCGGGGCAGGGTTCAGGGGACCAGAGGACAGAGTGGGGTGCGTGGGGGAGAAAGTGAAGGAGAGCTAGTGTGAGATGAAAGTGGGGGGGGGGAGGCTGGGCACTCGGTGGAGGAGGTGGGAGAGGGGAGGGCATGGACAGCAGGACTTTCTTCAGGAACTGGGAGCACTGTTATCCTCTTCTGTCCTCGCTTCCTCGGGACCAAGTGCAGGAAAAAGAGAAAAAGTGACCAATGAGAGGAGGATGTCTCCAGAGCATTAAACTGTTCTGCGAGTGTGAAGGGGCGTTAAGAGAATCGGTGACTTTGGGGAGCGGTGTGGTCAGGAAAATGGGAGACCTTTACTACCATCTCCTGAAAAGCAACACTTAATTGTTAAATTCTTGGGCTTGAATGTTTAAGAACTTCGCAGCCGAGGAGTCTGCCTGGGTCCCTGTATTTTTTGCTCTGGTTTTAATTATGAGTTGCTCAACGAATCACAACAAGCAGCATCCCTCCGGTTATTTTCATTTGATTCCGTTTTTTGTTTTTTTTTCTGATCTGGGCTGGGAGCTGTCCTTCCACCTTTTGTACTGGAAGACTTTGTGTTCAGGTAACAAGTTCTCTAACTTCCTATAAACTGAAGAGGAAATCAAAGCTGGTTTTAAGCTGCCTATCCCAGTGACCTTAACATCCTTTTCCTTGTTAAATTGCTGCGGTTAATTAAGTGCCTGAAGCATCTTAACTTTTGGTCGTCTGGGTGATGCTTGTGGCTTCTCAGAGGAGCTCACTTAAGCGTCTTTCAAATGAATTCTTACAGCATATTTTACCATGAATCTCTGGGATTGTTGGGGGCTAGTGCGATGACCATAAGTGTTATTTGATTATTTGTATGTTTTAGGGATAATTTATTATTTTTTTAAAAAACATAATTGGGTATAGAGCGCCCTTCAAATCAAATACTAGGCAAAGCTGTGTGGTTGGCTGGTTTGCTCTGGCCTCTTTCACAGGAATTGAGTGGTCTGAAAGCTCCCCGGTGTTATGATGTCTTCGCTTAGGGAAGTTTGAGCTGCAAGTTCTTGGCAGTCAGTCTTGAATGGGACTTTTTCTTTTCTGAGGAAGCAGATTTTAAATGTCACGTCTCAAGTATATTTCTGAGAGATTTGGTTGGAGCTGTTACAGCAGCTAAAGGGCATTAATTTTGATGCTGGTACTCATCTCAAAACCTAGAGTAACCTCCTTACATTGTTGAATGCATGCTGCAGTCCAGTTGGTAAAGGACAGTTTCTGACAAGTTGAGTGGGTGGTCTTTTGTCCCTTCTATGCTTGACGCTCCCAGAAGCAGTCTCCTGCTTTGAAAGTGAGTGAGTCGCTTGGATGCTATTTCTGTTAAGCTCCTTGGATGACCTTTGCTTGTTTATAATAGTTTAATTAGTTTTCCCCTTTTTGCCTTAATTTTTGCCCCATATTTCCTGTAAGGGTGATTACTTCCTTTTAAAATAGTAGCTTTTAAAAATTACTTTTCATTCTGAAGGATTAGAATTCTTTTTGTGTTGATTTTTTTTTTTTAATGATTGCAATTCAGTTCAATGGAGGGCTGCAGCTATTAAGGCATAAAAAACAGTGTCCTGACACTGTTTGGAACAGGTGGTAGACAGTTAAACTGGGTGAATCTCATGAATAATCTTAGTCTTTGTATTTTCTGTGGGGTGGATGTGGTAAAAAGAGACTATGAACTGTGTCTTCAGTTGACATGAAGGAGGGGGAAATCTTCCATGCCTCCACTTACCCTCCCCCTCACCCCAGAGCCCCAACAGGAAGTGGTAGCACACTGCCTTCAAACAGTAGAAGAGTTTATATACCTTAAACCCAATGCTTTGCAATTGAAATGAAGTTAGGAAACTAAGGAGAATGTTAATACCATCGTAGTAAAAATCTCCACAAACATAGGTTTGGAGTGTCCACATCGCTAGTAGCAAAATCCCACTACTCCAGTGGTTCTCAACCTTCTGGCCCTTTAAATACAGTTCCTCATGTTGTGACCCAACATAAAATTATTTTCGTTGCTACTTCATAACTGTAATGTTGCTACTGTTATGAATCGTCATGTAAATATCTGATATGCAGGATGGTCTTAGGCAACCCCTGTGAAAGGGTTGTTCGACCGCCAAAGGGGTCGCGACCCACAGGTTGAGAACCGCTGCACTACTCCCTCAACACCCCCATCCCATTCCCAGGTGATAGGAAGTTGTTGAAGGTGGTTCATCTCCTCCCAGTCATAGTTATTTCTTGAAGTTCCTAGGTGTGTAAGTTCCTGGGTATTGGAACTGGGTTTTGACAAGGTCTGCCACAGCATAGCTGACAAACCTTGATAAGGTCTATGTCACAGGAAAGACGCATTTCTTAACGCCTGGAGTCTGTGTGTGTGTGTGTGTGTGTGTGGTTTGGTAGATATGTATACCTTGTGCCTGTTTCTTCTAATGAGGGGACATTTTAAGACTTAGTTTTGGTTTGTCAAAGTTTAAGTAGTTTTAAAAAGGGCCTCTTGCCATCTTTAGACACTTTTCATGAGGCGTCTGCCATCATGAGAGGAAGGCGACAATTAGTCATTTTCAGAGCAGATACAGTTGTCGCCCAGATACTTTTCCTTACTTCTCTAAGGTCCTGCTGTTCTCTCAGGTCCTGCTGGCTCCCCTCATTTCCTTTTTGCTCTTTGGGTGGTGGAGGGGTACGTTTTCTTCCAACGGACTTATTGGGAATCTTCCAGTATATTAGTCAGATAATATTTGTCAACTATTGAGTAGGATTGTTTTATCCATTTGAAATAATAGGCCCAGTGCTAGCCTTTCAGTTCAAATATTTGAGAACTGAAAAAAGTTTTTTAATTGGCTTCCCAAACCTCTTACATAATCATAATTAATGCTTAATTAAATGTCTATAAAATGTAACATTAAGACAACCAGGAAACAGCTATACAGTTAGCTACGTGTTATATTTCCTCTGGGCTGTGGGTGCATTTTAATATTGATAGGAGGGCACATTGACATGTTGGAATGACCTGTACTGAATGAGGTGCTGGTAGAAGAAAAAGAAAAGCAGATCCTGTTCTCTAACAAGACAATCTAAGCTTCTTCCCTTTGCTGTCTTTCCCCTGGCCTGCCCCCCTTCCACCCCTGCTCCTCCCGCCCCGTCTTCCGGTTAGGGTATTTCCTGAGTGGTTTCATTTTAGTATAGTCATAGTTTGACAGTAGAAAGAGTCTTAGAGATGATCTACTTTATGCCCCTACCCCAATTTTATAAATAAGAAAACTATGGTTAAGTTGACATTGTCAAGATCACAGCGGGCTGTAACAGAGCCTCCAGCGCACTCCAAATCCAAGTCTGTGTCGCTTTTCACAATCAAGCTGCTGCTATATCTAATCAGTATGACCATCTCCACAAATTTGTCACCACCTTTTCTAGGAAGAAATTAGATTTTGCCCGTATGCTTTATGTGGAGAAAGTTAAATCTTCCCACTTTGATGAGCCAAATTTGTTCCGGGAAATAGTAAATGCTCATACAGTGGTTCAGAGTGCTGCAGGAGTGGATACAGGGACAGCTCAGCACCTGAAGCTGTCCTTTGCTCTTTCTGTGGTTTCAGGTTAGGAGATCAAAGGGCACCCTGTCATTAAAATTCCTTCCCTGTGCAAAATAACTAATGCAATCATATTAATAAGGGGACGATGGCAGTTGTTGCAGCCTTCTCTCACCAGAGCACTTTTAGATGTTTTCTTCTGTAACATTACTTTTTTTTTTTCTTCTTGGATTCAGTTTCCTCAAAATCATGGGTTGACAAACTGTTGCCCATAGGCCAATGTGGCCTGCAGCCTGTTTTTTTGCAGTCCACTGTAAGACTGGTCTTTTTACAGTATTAAAGGGTTATTTAAAAAAATCAAACAAAGCAAAGAATATGCAACAGAGACCATATGTGTCCCACAAAGCTTAAAAATATTTACTTTCTTTATATAAAAAGTTTGCTGACCCCAACTTTATTAAAAACTGTTTTTCGTTGGTAGCAATTCAAAGCTTTTATCAAGACTTATTGACTGAAAAACAAACTTTGTCATGTTTACATTTTTAGCCAAGATGATATCAACATTTGGCTGAGCGTAATCCAGATATGTAGAGCAAGTTGATTTTAATTTTCATAGTTGTTTTCATTCGTTTCATCCTTGCAAACAAAACTATGCAAGGAACACTCAACTTCAAATTGAACATTTTGTACATGAAGCCTTATTTTAATGTCATGTGTTCTTTCAAAGCTGTCAGTAGACTTCCTATCTATTTCAGAACATGTCGAATTTAATACTTGGTAGGAAAGGGTTAAACTCATCTCCTCAGTTTGTGTTCTAGCATATGAAAAAAGCCACTCCACAAATTACGGAGGAGAGCAGGGAAACTGAGTCCTGGCTACAGATATTGATGTGTCTTAAACATAAGTGTACTTTAATAAAGAACTTGGCCAGCTGTTCTGCATGGCAGCAAATCAGGGA